CACTCGGAGCCGCAAAGAACAAGAACAGCAACGGCCAGCGTCGCCGGAACACCTCCATTGTGTTCTCCAGGCAACCTCTGATACAACGTCACGAACAGTACCACGTAATGTGCCATCCCAACCCAAAACATCCCCATCGCGCTCTCCCTCCAGCCCACACGGGCCGCCGCCTGCGCCCCCACCATGTTCCCTATCACCGTCAACTGGCTCGTCGGATTCCCCACAATCGCTAGATGCCTCTTCCCCTTGGTCAAATACTGGCCGTATAAATCTTCAAATCCAGCGCCAACACCGGCATCACCAGCACACTCCATAGTACTTGATGACAAATTGCGGTTCGGGGAAGAAACGGCGATGATTCAAGCAACATAAGGCAGCAAATCCAAGGGACAAAAAGGTAGTTTACTCCGACGCTGTTCAGGAATTCGTCCCTCACCATGTCGAAGTGAAAGAAGCACCTGAGAAGGTAGAGAAGAGAGAGGGGGCCGTGAGTGTGAGTAGTGAGAGGGACCAAAGGAGAATGAAGGCCGTGGAGGGCATTACTGAGAATATATGTCTGAGAGTATGAGCGTCTTGGATTTGTTCTTTCAGGATTTTCCATAACAAGGCTTGGCTTGAGAGAGACAGGCTGATTCTGAAGTATCCTGCATGAAAATTCGAAAGAATAGAGGTTAAGGAAGATTGGATTTTGCTGATTATTGGAACGTCGATGGAGACTGCCATATGAGGTCGTGAATCTTTCTGGGACTCCGCCTTTTTTTTTGTTTTGTTTTGCTACGATCATTCTGGTGTGGTTCTCCCGAAATTTATAAGCAGAAGCCAGAGACCGGGTAGCGCAAGTTGCAGAGAATTTTTCGTCCTGTTTCGGGCGGAGGGTGGGAGACAGCAGCCAAATAATAAAATAACGATTTAAAAATGGAATTTTAGGGTGCTGACTCGGCTGCTCCTTTTGGACTTTGTTTCACACACGATTCACGAACTGTACTGTTCTCTGTCGTCAGTTTACTTTACAGCTATACCTGATCTTCCTCGGACCCTTTTGGATAAACTTCTAGAGCTTCTTGCTTTTTATCGTTTTCTGAAAGATCCGAATGAAAATTACCGATGGAAACTCATGTCTTGTCTTGTGCGCATTAGGTGTTTGATACTACGTCCTTATTTTCTTTTGTTTCCTCACGAAGCAGCTATATAGAAGGAATTTGGTTCATAGTAGATTAAAATATCGACGCTCATACCTTTGTAGACTTGAAGATTTTCTCCAACACCGAAACGCGCGTGAACAATCGAGTGGCGTGCATTAATTTCTATATTAAATGAAGTTTCTTGGCTGCATTTCGAGTACATGAAGACTATAGATTGGAAAATTCTCTCAATGTTTGTGATTTTTCCAAGAAGCATCACTTATTGGGTACGTCACGTTGATTTGTGCCCCCACACAAACATCCACTTCCATGCACATCGCTTTCGCCCGCAGAAGTTGGTGAAGCATTGCATACAAATGACTCTTCAAATGAATTCACGATTTGAAACCAGGCTTGTCTGTATTGGTCACTGCGCCAAATCAGAGTCTGAAATGTAGGAAATGGATCAAGCTGTACGCACGAATGCACACACCTTTAATGCTCTACCTAAAAAGTTGAAGCACACAGGGAAGGTTAGTACGGTTCATAGAAATGTGTTTCTTTCATGCTTTATAAAGGTATATGTTTGAATCATGATTCTGTCAAGACCCTGTTACCATAAGCATCTCTTTAAATGCTTATTGAGCCTTAAAGCTTATTTGACCCTTGCAAATTAAGAACTAACTTATCTAAACTTTTATCCTACTTTAATATTGAAGCATTCTGAGGGGAGAAGCTATCACTTCTCAGAGCAGAAGTAGTGGTGAGTGGATAACTTGCAAGTCAAAATTTTCTGCGTCATCCGGTGGGTTCAAGGACCCATTTGTCGCCGCATGCCACTACACATTTGTACAGAACTATTCAGGTTCTCCATACGATACATGAATAATGTTCTTTTCAGAAGAAATTCATAGTCTGCAAAAACGTAACCGAGATTGGCGCAGGTTCTTTTTCTAAAAAATCAGCAGGCAAGTTTATGGTCCCAGTCCGATTTCAAATGGCAAAGGCGAAATTGCCTACTTAGTTGAGCAGAGTCGTATTAGAATTAACCTGTTGGATTCTTGACCCTGCTTATGTCAATTAAGTACAATTAGTGAAGATATTAATGGCCAACAAAAAAGATCTCGGCATTAGCTGCAGAAATGGAATCCATCGGCCAGAAAAGGCACGTCGTAGAATGTTGAGCCAATAAAGGATTGCTTATGTTGGTATTTTTGATCTGTTCACCGTGCCTTTTTTTTTTTTTAAACCACGTTTTCCTTTTAGAATTAAATAACAAATACTTAAAAATTACATATAACTCTTTATTTTTTAAGCAACATGCTTATTTTATTCCTAAAGTACTATGCCCTTTCAGTTATTGTGTCATGATGATCACCAAGATTAAGTTGATGATGGTTGTAGGTACAATGAAATCAGACGAGAAGGGGAAAACCATATTGCAGAGACGTGAACCCAAATAGATAGCAATGAAAAGGACAGGTATGTCGATGGTTATCGCTAAACATGATGGTGCCATATTAGCAGGTCAACAATGGACGGTTTGCCATGCCTGCATTTAATGGCACTGAGTGAGAGGGGGATGATGGTTACAGCGAAACAATTTACAATTCCCTAACTATTATGAAGGATTTGATTCTTTTGGTTTATAAAGCCGCTATATTGCATCAGTAATTCATTGTTGTATAAGAGTAACCCCATCAAAATTCAGTAGCAAAAATGCAGAGAGCAGTTCAGAAAATCAGGAGCCTGATAGGATAGCCAGGTCAAAGGGAAGAAGGAAAAATATTTAAATATGTAAATAAATAAAGAGCTAACAGTCAAAGATGGCTTCGCCTGCTAATGCAAGCTGGCCTCCATTTGCAACTTATGCTGCTTTTGAATTCGCACAAAAACTCTCTCCATTTTACTTAGAAAGTAATGCTTCATTAGATTGTGAAACTTGTGGTGGATAAACCACTCCGTGAAACGTACTTGAACTTCAGTAGGAGCATGACGAGCTAGGACACAGTTTTCCTCTCTTCTTTTTAGGTCAAATATCAAGTTAATTATAAAGATATGTTCTAACCTGTCACAATTTTGATAAATAAATATGTATGCCTGTATGTATATATGTCGTCTAATTCAAAAATATTCCATCACATACCCAAGAGGCAGAAGCAAGGGGCACCGAAAGGTTAGGGTTCCATTCTGGTACCAAGTTACAAAAGGGCGCGCATTCATTTAGCAAACATCTAAACATCACAAGAAATGGATTAAGAGTTGGCCATATTACATGTACATTAATAAATGTACATTAATAAGTATATCAACTGCTTTTAACTACAGCCAGTTTAATAAAGATACAAAAGCATCCCTCCGTTCTTCATTTATCATTTATATCTCTCTACGACCTCATGCTCTATGTTTCAAACCCATGACGTTTGGCAACATAACAGAAGCAGCAAAACTGAAACTGCATTCTTAGGAGTTTGAACCCTCACATGCTCTTTTTGTTCTCCAGATGAGTAGAACTCTGGTCAATCGCCTCCAACTGACTCCTAAGACTCTGATTGTCTGCCAAGAGCCGATCATATTCCATGAGGAACCCTTCAGATTGCTTTTTCAGAGCCTCCACTTCAGCTTCCAAAGTCTTAGCCTTGCTTCCTTCAACCTCACATTCAGATTCCAGATTCTTTATTTTGTTCTTCAGTGTTGCAATTTCCGCCGTCAATGCTTTATGCTCTTCAGAACTGCTGTTTTTACCATCCTCAAAACTTCGATTCTGTTTCTTAACAGCCTCCATGGTCTTCCTGAGTAATCGAAGCTCTCTTATGTAATGATGCAACCTATCTATCATCAAAGAAAGGAAAAGCACAAATCCTGCATACATAACGTGTAAAAACTCAATTTCAACAAATAATATATATCAAAGAATGTAGCAAAAATTCATCCCCAAAAAAAAAAAAATTATATAGAACCAAGAATTCCATCTGGTCGAAGGTAACCAGTTGGAGTATACCACAAACTACATTGTAAAAGAATTTAAAAAAAAAAAAAACAGTTGTAAAGCACATAACATGGTCTACACAATCCAGAAGTTTCAGTGCATAACCATAAAAAATCCATTTTATTGTTAGATTTGTCATAAGAATCAAGAAGGATTAGCCAAAAGGTCTATAATGTTTCTCACTCAAAGAATCCATAAATTTTGAGGGGAAAATCAAATATAATAGGCATGCTGAAGAAAATTTCAGTCGTGGCAACTCCAAATTCCAAACACCCACACCCTAAGAAAAAATCTCATACACCTGAAATATGCAGTCTAACACAAATGCAGTGGAATGAGACCCCAAAACGAAGTGAAGCTCTCGTATAAAATTGATCATACAATTTCAGAACAGGGTAGAAACCAAACATTCCGAACATCCATGTATGATATACTGAACGGGAAACTCCAACTTAGACCATAACAGATTGCAATATACAAATGGGGAACGCCCAGAATCCCATCCTTCGACTCACGTTTGCTCCAGATAAGCTGAGGCATAGCGCTTTCTTTGTGAATAATATCAATGTATTGTATATAAGCTAGCAGAGTCCTCAAAGCTAATAGTCCCATATGCCTTAACTAAGATTAATAAGTTTTCCAGGCTCCTCTTCCCCTTTATTGGAAGGGTAATATTTTAACATGAGGGTGTAATTCAGCACAATCCGCAGACACTGGATCCACAAATCTTAACTGGGATTGTTATATATTTCCACTTTCCAGTAATCATAAACATCAGATTCCATTCATTCAGATTTCTTATCAAACAAGTAAAGGATCGAATTAAGCGAAAGGCAGTGCGATAGTCCAGGCTAGGTTTTGATCCCCGCAAGTCCGCAATCGAGAACCAAGAAACTTCAAACAAGAAAAAAAAATCAACAATTTCACAGAAAATCAACATTCGGAGGAAACAAAAATGAGATGTGACGATAGGAAATTACCCATTAGAGATGCTTCAAGCATGTGCTGGGACATCAGAACCTCATCAGTGGGATTGACAAGTCCAGCCTCAAGGACTCGTCGCTGGATCGTGACCATACTATAAAGGCTGGAAGCAAGGACGATGAGCAATGTAGCACCGACAGTGGAGACGACGACGGGGCCCCGACCTCGCTTGACCCGATCCAAGGTAATAATCATAAGCTTCCTGAGCGGGGTCTTGAAAAGAAGTGTAAGAATTAGAATCATTTGACCAAAAATCACAGTGTAGAGTAGCTGAATCATCTTGCTATGCTGCCTAAAATTGCTCTTCAGTGGAAGAAGAAGAGGACAATGGGGGAAGAAATGAGGAGTTTTTTTTTGGGGCATTAAGGAGGAGAAATAGTTTATTTAAAACGCAGTGGCGGCGGCAGCGAAGAGCGCGTGCGAGTGCGCGTATGAAAGTTTTGTGGGGGGCCGTGTGTCTGTGCCCCAATGAAAAGGAAACACGTAGACACGTGGTCAGTGATCGCCGAGAGGTTGCCGGTTAGTCGCTCGCCTCTTTAAAAGTCATTCAAATATGAAAATGAAAGTGGCGCACCCGCATCTAGCCATCTACCCTTCTTCGGAAGAGAAGACTTATAGTTATAGATTTAATATAACTTTATCTAATTCGATTAAAACAAGTAAATTTCATAAAGTGTTAATAATATTAATAAACAGGGTTTGTTATAGGATAAATAATAATAGTATATAAAAATATATACATATATTAATTTAATTAGAAGGGAGAAGTTTATTTATTTTTTAATTGTTTTGCGTGGATTTTTAGATTTTCTTTGTCAAAATGAGCTTCCACTAATAAAATCCACAATAAAGTCGAGGTCAATGCCAGCTAAAATCAAATATTTTTATTAAGATTGTCTTAAATATGAGATTATAAATTCAAATGATCAAGTGCATGATTTATACCAAAAGAAAATTCACCATAAAAACGTACAAGGCAATGGATTGATAAAATAAAAGAAGAGGAGCTCGATTTAACTGACTTTGCACATTTCATTATTGCTATGACAAATAATTTTTTGAGAGAAGTCTGCTCATTTCCAACGAAATAGAACTCCCCAACAATTTGAGAGAGAAAAAAAAAGTTATTTCCAACATCAGAACATGAGCAAGTAGTACAGCTTCTAAAGAATCCTTACACTGCACTGCCACATATTGAGGAAGTTGAAAGTTGATAAGCTTATGCCTCAAACTTCACTCTCAAAAGAGGAAAACATTTATCCAGGATAGGTTTGAAAGGAATGGGCATGACTCCAAATGTGGATGAGGAGACCCACAATACAAGTGCTGAAGATACTCGGAAGTTTCGCTAAAGCTACGCATGATCATGTTGCTGAGTCGGAAATTAGACTCTAGGACTTGCGAAAAAACAAAAGCACGAACACACAGATTTTGGGTGATTGTCCAAGTCCTCGGGCCACCACACTCTCACCCCACTATAGTGGCCCCACTTCAATCCAGCGTCAAGAAACTGTTCAAAAGCGGGAATCTGCACTGATCAGGTAACAAATAGAAATCTCATGTCTTCCTCCGTGAGTTTGCCCAGAGCCTCAGCAGAGCCGCCTACAGTCCTATCGAGGAAAGGGAGAAAAATAAGTATATATTGACAATTTGACATGACACCTGTCAAGCCAACTTACCCTTCAAATATTAGCTCCTTCTTCTCTTGCAGCTTCAAAATCCTCTCCTCAATAGTGTTTTCGATCACAAACCTGACAATTCTGACCAAGTAAACAAAACCAAGTCAGAACTCCATCAGGAACACCTCTGCTTCCATTAATTTTTCCATTGCCTCATGCCTACTCTAAGCTTAAGAGTACGAGAGCGCAAGAAGCACCTGATTGGTTTATATTGCCCTATCCGGTGAATTCTATCTTGAGCTTGATGCTCCACGGCTGGGTTCCACCAAGGGTCCATAATGAAAACCTATGCCAAGTATATAGATCCATATGTGAAAAGATAGAAGAGATAGATTAGGCAACAATTATATACAAATTTGATGAATTTCACAGTTGAATAAGCAAACTGATGAATTCTACATGAAACACAACGAATAAAGAAGATTATTCACATGTGATGCTACGGTCAAATTGAGGGCAACACCACCGGCTTTCATGCTCATGAGAAAAATTTTGCATTCTGGATCATCAGTAAATCTCTTAATGGCTGCATCCCGAGCAGCTAATGACATGCTTCCATTCAATTGAACACAAGAAACACCAGACTGCAATTCAGACATCATATGATTATTGCAATGAATCTTGCATTAATAATATAGAAAAGCACATGTAAAATTACCTTGAGCAGGGAATAGTTTATGAGATCCAAGAATGAAGTGAATTGGCTAAAAACAATCCCTTTTGCGGAGCCATCCCTTTCTACCATAAATCGAATTTCTTCTCTCTACAGCCATTTCAGCTTTGTAAGGCACAGGGGTATAGGGATTGTAAAAGGCATGCATCGGACAGAGAATATAGGTTATCTTTTCCAATGTGCAGTTGAACCATAAAACATGCTTGTGTAACCGATGTTATTATTTACTGCCTATAAATGTCATGCTTTATAAAACAAAAACAAAAAGAAACATAAAAACATGCTTAGCTAAACTACTCATACTTTCTAGACAATAGAAAGCCCAAAACAATTAAAAAATATATCATGTAACTCATGCTTCATAAAACAACAAACAAAAAGAAACATAAAAACATGCTTAGCTAAACTACTCATACTTTCTAGACAATAGAAAGCCCAAAACAATAAATATATCATGTAACTCACTTATGTCACATACCAATGCCTCTATTTTAGTACTTGTTTGAAAGTTCTCAAGCCGAATTCTATTTAAAATGCTTGAGGATCTGAACCCCTTTATTATTGTTTTTCTAGACTGATCCCCTACATCCTTGTTTGAAGTTAAATCAACAGTAAGTAATTTGGAGCATGAAGGGCATGACACTCGCCCCAAGGAAGCAGAGAAGTCTATCAAGCATCCCTTACAAAAGATGTGTTCACATGAGGTAACCTGAAAACAACAGGAAAAATGTAGTTGAAGGATACAATAGTACACCAATTTTGCTGTAAAGAACCAACGGACAGAAGATAAAAAGTAAGGGGACTATGAACTAACGACAGGATCTTCTGCAGGCTCATGACAAATGCCACATATTTGTTCAACATCGTCAACGCTAACGTCAGCCCCAGCTTTTAATGATGCAGCTTGAGAATATACCACAAGGTACGGATGGTCAACAGCCTGTAATCCAAGAAAGAGATATTTGAGATCAATTAACAGCAGAATGCTCTACTATCAAGCTACTGAGGAACAGCAGAAAATCACATCTCACAGACTTCAATTCCTATCGTCAACCCAAGACCAAAATGAGTTCAAAGTTTCCTTCGTAACTTGTAGAACTTCTTTGTCGGCAGAGAGAAAAATCTTACATGAAGGAGCAAGAACAAGAACAGAAATGAAAATCTGCTCATTACTCGACAAGTACTAAAAGAACCTACCTCCCAGTTCTCACAAGAATAATCCAGACTAAAATGAAGAGTATGGAAACCCTATTCATGTAAATCAAAAAAATAAATGAAGTCATGCCAATAGAACACCCTACTATTCTTAAAAAAACTATTAATCATTGTTAAGGAAATAAAAAATCAGATATTTCAAAGAGATAAAAAAAACTAAATTATTAAAAATTGAAAATGATTTATACCAGTCTAAGACTCTTAGTTCTAGACAGTCTACCCAGGAAGTCATATCTTCAGTAACATGTCACTCACTTTGCACTAAAATTTTAGAGCAAAATAAAGTTCCATATTATCATTAGAGTAAAAGAAATTTACAAAATCAAATAACAAGACAATATAGGGATATGATCAAAATGTGGGAAATTCAAGGTCAAGGACATCCAATGGTTCCATACAAATACACAGGCCTCAAATAATAATGTCTATCATCCTTCATTTAACAAATTTAAAATCGGGGGAAGGGACCAGAGAGAGACAGAGAGAGAGAGAGTTTTGAAGGGGCTGCATCATAAGGTGTAAATGTCAAAGTTCTTTCCTCTTCCATTGAAATAAACACACACCTGCCGGAGTCTGGTGAGGAGGTCAAATATATGAGCATAGTTATTTGTCAAAGTATTCGATTCCACATATCTGTGATGGAGAATCAAATTGATTACTTAGATAGGAAGCAGAAAGACAACGAATAAAAGAGTCAACAAAAATATACGGCTCTTCTCTTCCTCCAGATTAAAAATAAATTTCATGCATATATTGGTGATTAACATCTTGTGAAAAATAAAAGTTAAATTTTAGTTATTACAACAAAAGAATCTGCTTCACTTTATCTTCATTGTATTTCTATAGTAAGCAGAATATGTGACATACGTATTAAACTGCGCCTGGCTCTCATTATATAATGATTCATAATAGTCTTGCTCTTTTATATCCAGGCTATCCTTTCTCAGTGAAACCTGCAAGGAATTGACGGAAGAGATCACTACATACCTTTTCTATATTCAAAATCGCAAACTTTGCCACATTGCAAATAATAACTTACGATTCTAGGTGGAAGTGCGAGATCAACAGCTCGGCCTAATTTAGTGCGCCTTAATATTACATTTTTTAAAACCTTGTGTTTAAGCAATATCATTGCTCTCCTACCGGGATCATCGGTTCCATATAATTGAATTGGCGTGGCTACAAACTTATCAATATTCAATAACAGAATATGTCAGTACTAATTTGTATCAAACAGCAAGGATTTGTTTTTCTTGACTGGAACAAATGCAAAAAAGGCAAATAAACTACAAAACTTACTTTATTCCACCAACAGAAATGTCTGACAGAACTGTGCTGGCAGTTTGAACATTCCTTAGAACTGCATAAAAGCATCATGATCACAACTCAGAAGCATAAAGTTAACATGTTAACAATATAGTTGCAAGATATATAAAAGCACAAGGGCGCTTAGAGGGATGCTCGCCTTTGCATACTCAACAAAACAGAGCACAATAGAGCATTTCAAAGAAGTAAAGAGATGAAAAATAATTCTAAGAAAACCTTTATAAAGAAAAGAGAAGCGCTTTTTTTTTTTTTTTTGGCCAAGGTAAAAGCAGCTTGCTTTAAGCTATTGAATTATACATAAATGACAAAACATGGAGACCGTCATTTAACAGATAAAATAATAAAAGAATAGAAAAAGAAGCTGACAATTCAGTTCCTCAAAGGGTAAACAAGCAAAACCAAAATGAACAATAAATCATGTTCCCAGTAGTTAAGTTCACACATACCTATGATCAAGAATCCTGCAATCACAGTCCTTGCACAGGTAATAGGAATAAGGAACTATTTGCAGGAAACGTATCTGTATTAACAGCATAGCAAGTAAATCATCTTTAAAACATAAACTTTCCAGATTATGGCAAAATACATAAGACGGTAAACTGACCAGAGAATACAGCTCTCCTACACGATTCTGAAGGGGAGTTCCACTTAACGCCCATCTATAGGAAGACTCTAGAGCAAGAATTGCTTTTGCAGTGTTACATTGTCTAGATTTTATATAGTGCGCCTATTTGATAAATTTAAAAGTATAATGGTCAATTTCTTGTCAAGATACAAGCAAAAGACTTGGCACAGTCAAATAAGAAAGAAACCATGCTCCAACTACTTTAGACAAATGGGTGCACAGGACAATTCAAATGTGTAAACAGATGATTTTATTTCATGAAACAGAACCATTTCAATGCCATAATAATGATAAAAACTGACCTCATCCAAAATGATCCGCTGCCACTTGACAGAATGTAAAAGTGACGACCCCTTGCATCTGGTATCTGAATTCCCTGATCCCATGTTCCTCTGAATTTTCTTCTTTATATTGACTTCTTTTTTCTCTTTCTTGAATTGCTTCGATTGCTTTTCTGTTCTTTCAGCATCAGGCCCGCAATAATATCTCTGGTGAACAGATAACTTCGTCTGGCTAAAAGATTTGCCACAATATTGACACTTCTCTTTAGGAGGCATCATATGCTTCCTATACTCTGATTCAACAGTAGAGTATGTAGTTATTACAAAATCATACCCTGAGAACTCTTCCCTACACTTCCCTCTCTTGGCCCCATGATAAATTAGCACCTTGGTGCTTCCTTTTAGAGTAAACCTATCAATCTCACTAACCCACTGAGTGACAGCAACCACAGGACAAATTACAAGCGTTCCTTTGATCCAAGGCAATGCTGTAGATGAACCTGGCAAAGAGGATGTTTCATCTGGTTCACAAACCATTTGCCGGATTTCACGTTGGGCAAGGACAAGAGCAATTGCTTGAATAGTCTTTCCCATCCCCATTTCATCTGCAAGAATACCCCCCTTAATTTCGGAATTCTCCTGTTTCAAAGCCCATGCTAGCCATTCCTTTTGGTATCTTAGTAACGGCATGGTAAGGTCAGAGGAAGCCTCAGCAGTTTCATTCATTAGTTCATTCTGATGACCCAACTCAACATCTTCTGAAAAATTCTCATCAATCCATCTCTCATGCTGCTCTTCCCAAACATTCCACAACAACACTTGTTTTGTTTTTTTTCTTGGTCTTTTGGTTTTTTTCTTCTTTCTCAGGCTAGCCAAATCATGTTCAGTTGATTGCTGCTGAACTCCTGAGGAGCCATCATCGTCCCCATGCTCCAACACTCCTATGTCCTGACTGGACTCTCCAATTTTAGAGCTGAGTTTTCTCCTTTTCTTTCCTCTTCTCTTTCCAGGCCGAGATGAGTCAGAGCTGTCGCCTAACCCATCAGAAGAGCAAAAGCTTGAAGTAGGTTCTTCATTTAAGTCAGGAAAGGAGTTCAAAGCTGCTTCATCTACATGAAATCATTTCTCATCAACAGGCATGTCATGAGGACGAAATAGACTACAACATTAGCATTATAAAGATTTCTATACTAAACCAGGGAGGAAAAGAAAGAGATTTTATTTGAAGGTTTAGATTGAAGTGGTTAAAACTTCAAAATAGAATCACGCTGTCAACAGCCACCCACGATTCCGAAAGAAATAATCAGTAGGTTATAAGACCATCTGAAGAGACTTCAATTGCATTATTGCCACAATCGCTAGCAGTTTTAGCTTCTCCAGAGGCATCATCGGGTGGTTGTTCATTTCTTGTTGCTACATTATACAAAACCATCAAAATAAGCAAGGAGGAAAAGACAGTGAATTCAGTAAACCCACGCTAAGGACCCAATCTTCAGCATTCTATTTTAACTAAGGATCACCCCGCACTGGCCCAGACTGCTGGGACTTCTAGCACATGGGTGAGGAGCAAGAACACAAAAACTTCAAGATCCTACCTCTTTCTAAACCCCACCAGGAAACCTTCAAGCCGCTATCCAAACTGGCTTAACAATATGGGAATTTCCAAACAGTAATGGCGAAGAAAAGACGGGCACGGGACATAAACCAGTTGACCGCAACAAAGTTTGCCAACAAGGCAATAATAACTCCCTGTTCTCCTGTCGTCTATTTAAAAATCTTATCCCGCAAAGTAATCACTCTCATGCAGAGAAAAGTAGCGCAAAGACATCGGAAGTGAACCACAAGAGGGAAAAGTCAAAAAAAAAAAAAAAGCAAGAAACTAAAACCCAATCCTCTGATGCCTATCATGTTATCATAAAACAAAAACAATCAAAAACCACACCAGAGGCATGAAAGTACGAAAAAAGAAGTTGATACAATCGCAGCGATGGAATGTTTACCATCGATATCAGGAGTAGGAAGTCGCCTCCAAGAACGTAGCTCCATCGATGCAGCTAACGGAAATTTACTAGGGTTCGTGACAATGAAGAGGTTAGATTAGAATAGCGGTTCCGGAAACAGGAATGGCAGTGTGAGTGATGGTGACTCCTGGTACGAAACGGCGGGAAGAGGCCCTTACTTTATGCTCAGCGGACGAAGGCGCCTAGAACGCAGTCCAATATCAGGTTGTGATTCTCTGCGGTGGCGACCACAACCGAGATACCACGTGGAGTATTCTACACCACTGAGACTTACAAAGGATCGCGTGAGTGCGTTGTGTCAGCGCTTTGATCTCTATAGATCAAGCATTCGACCAAAAAGACATAAATATAGCAACCGAGAAGCAAGCGCATCGTGATCCGTCCGTACGAGGCTCCTACCGAAAATGCATCCTGCAGAGAGAAACGTTAAAAATACAATTGCTTCCCCCGCAAGATTCATGCACACGTTTCGATCTGGTGGGCTTATGTTCTGCACTTGTGCACAATCTCCATCGTGGGATTGATCTAACAAAGGAGATGCTCACTTAACAAGACGGCCTTTCATACTATACTGTCCCTGCCAATCGATTGGACGAAGCTGAACCAAAGCTGAGGTGAATCTTCACGGATGGTCCAGATCGCTCCTCACAAAAATAGGACAGCCGACCGTCACCCGAGGGAGAATCATTGGGGAAAGTTAATTTAATTTTATAAACATATTTTATATAAGTTAAAATAAAGGGAAAATTGCAAAAAAAGACCTTGGAATTGCAAAAACGCAGATAGGGACCCTTGACAACTTCACTATGGGTTTTGACAACTTCAGGGCATATTATTCTTGTCAAAACCCATAGTGAAGTTGTCAAGGGTCCCTATCTGCGTTTTTGCAATTCCAAGGTCTTTTTTTGCAATTTCCCCTAAAATAAAACTAATTTAATATATATTTTTTATATTTCGTAAATTATTATTTATAAACCATTCAAACCAGCCTTTAATTATTTTCTCTCCACTTTTGCTTCTCATGATCACTTAAAATAATGGGGAGAAAAATGAGGGGAGTAACTTCTCTTGTTGCGAGTTTTCTTATGAATTTTCAAATTTGTCTCTCACGTTTTAACGATTGATGAAATGTCTTGAGTTGTATTTTTCACCATTAAAACGCTTGTGCCTTGTATCTAAAATCACAAGTAGATACAATTATTAATATAAAACCTAATTAAATAATTTTTAAAAAATTAAAAAACTACTTAATTTTAATATATATTATACACGATTTTTTAAAATACTTATATGTATCATTAAATTATATATTAGTTTTTAAATCAGATAAATTAATTCTTAAAAAAAAGATAAATATAATATTTTAAAATAATTTATTTCACTCTTTTAATCTGTTCAACTTAGATAACTGAGTTTTATCAGTAATATTGTTTTACCATATTATTTATATAATTTATATTAAATTATGAATTCAAAAAAATAAATTAATTTCAAATTGAAAATACAAAACACATCAATAGTTGTACATAAAACACAAAAAACAGAATGTGAAGAAGCGAAAAAGATTATTAATAAGATAAATTTATAAGAGTTTTTTTTTTCCCCTCCAAAATCTCTTCATCATTAGAAGGAGAAGGTTAGGGAACAAATAGGTAGAATACGCGTGTTATTTTTCCCCATTCCCCTCGCTCCAGGTTTCTCTGTCCCGGTGCTTTTCCCATTTATGACCAGGATAAGCGCGTTTGGGATGCCCTAAGGCGCTATTGAGACATAAATTAACGCAACTAATACAGAATTTTCATTTTTTAAATAAGGGTGGGAGTTCGATTCTCAACTTTATATCAACTTATTGTTGTAGCTCTAACAGGCAAAATTATATAACATGAACAATAATATCTTGGCACTTAACTCGAAGCCTACACGTCAGATACAAAATTATATAATTGATATACCATAACTTTTTATGTGCGGACAATAATAAACATGAAGAACCCTGAAACAGGCGGTAGAAAATTAGGAAAAATAACATGATTCATTGATTCGTGAACATTACTTCATATCACTACTTATATTATATCGTAAATGAGGCTCAAATGATCAATCGTCTATTCCATATCTTGGGACAAACAAAATCTCTATGGAGTAAAAATGAATACCGCGAAAGGAATGAAGGAGGAAAGTGGCTCGAGTTGAGCCTTGAATACAACTGCTACTGATGCTGGGCGTATATGAATGAACTGGTTCTTACTTCTTATCGTATAGAGAGCTCAAATGCTATGGCCTATAGCCCGACCACATAGGAGAGCATTGCTTGGGATAGGGTATTCATCTCTCCATGAATTTGCAGCCGAATACACACGAAGATAGAATTGCTGCCCCAAGTATTGACGAGCCCAGTTCTCTGATCTCACATTCCACATCCCCACGTTGTCCAGAGGCATGTATATTGCAGTCCATGACTTGGGATACACCTGCTCCATCATAATCACATATACCAACAAGCAAAATTCTACGTTTTCAGGTGGGATTCCAAGATGAATGAAAAAGGTTTATGATAATTTATGAGTTTCTGTACCTGAACAGTACAGCGAGAAATCGTGTCTCTTAAATTGTAACTCGACCTACTGGCAGCTGACCATTGTCCTCCATCCATCCTGCGAAATTCCAACTCACGAGTGTTGTCATAAGGAACTCCAATGATCCCAAAAACAAAAAACAAAAAAATCCATTAACAGGTTTAAGGGAAGGTGAACTCACCCTACGATGAAGAAGTTGTGGCCATCAATGTGCCAAGATTGCAGGGTGTCTTCAGGATTCTCAAAGACAATCTCAGCAAAGCCACGGAAGTCGGCAGCCATAACAGAAGTTTGAAGGTAACCACCGGAGCCAGTGGGGTTGTCTGGGATGCTTCCAAGGGAGAAAACTCCTGAGATCTTGAAGTAATCAGCAAGCTTGAGGGGTGTATCAGCAGGAATAAAGGACACACTATTCACGGCATATCTCTGCTTCCCGTTGATGATTGGTGCGGAATTTTGAAGCCTAATTGTACGTGTTGTGTTGATCATACCATAATGGTATGATCCTTGAGGGTTAGGCCTTGGTCCGCTTGCTGTCAGATTACGCCTGGTTTCATATATAGCATGCATGAAGTTTTTAAAAGGATTGATCAAGAAATTTAGTTTTTACTGCTGAGTCAAGAAAGAAATAGGGTAATGTACCTGAGTGATCGAGCTTGTTCTAAAGACCAATCAATCTGGGTGGTTGGGCCGCCAGGGGGAGGGCCAGAAACAGAGGAAGCTGAGTTGCTGTAATGGAGAATGGAGGTCGTAGAAAGCACCTGGGAGGTGAATCTTGTGGAGACAACAATGTAGTAGTCTTGTGGCGGTTGATCAGCAATGACCAATACGGAGTAAGTCTGGCCAAGATGAATGTCAAGAGAACTATAAGTGTTTTGGAGAGTGTGGGTTCCTTCCACCTCAACCAGCAGCATTTTATGCCCTTGGATTCTGAAGTTGATGGATGTTGTCAGGCCCACATTTGATATCCTGAATCTGTAAGTCTTACCTGACAAACCACCAAACACATAACAGTCAATGTCTAAGTAATTATAGCTTCATTGGCATATGAACACAGGCAGGCAAAAAAATTAGAAGAATAGAGAAGAAATTCTTTTTCCGTACCTTGATCAACTGTGAATGTGTAACCATTAGAGCCGCGGCCATTAATGACGAGCCCGTCAGGGAATGGAAGATCACTTCCACCGTCTAAAATGGCCTTCAAATCCTACAAAAATAAACATCAAATTATCAATTTTAAGATTGGATTCCTTCAACAGTAAAGACTATTCTACAGTTACAACCTAAAAGATAAGAACAGTGACACGGCCACGCGAAAGCTTTCAAATGTTCACAATTCATATGATTTTTTGAAGCGCCGGGTCTTAGAGTTGGTGTCAGCGATGAAAAAGCGAGCTACTTACAGTGTGATTTCTCTTGTACCAGTCTCCTGCCAAGATGGTGAAATCCCCCGCTGGGGGAGGGAAAGGCACAGGAATGACAGAGCGGCTAGCAATTTTGAAGCCACCATAGCCTCCTGCAGCCTTGTGGAATGCAAGAGAAGGGAAGTAGAAGTAGCTACCAATCTGATCTTTCACTTGAAGAACGAAAGTAAAGTTCTTCCCTGGTGGGATTGGACAATTGGTCCCATAAACTCCATCCTGCCATGAGTTCCTCCTCTGCTGCACTCCATTCCTACGACCAATAACACCGTCTTCATATCAGACTTACACTAACTATGCTTTGGCTGTTCGAGCAATTATGGCTGCCAGATCTACAGAAATAACTAAACTAACACGTGTTTTTCCCATGAAAGGGACATCATTTGCCATTGAACTTTGGAAAATTCCATCACCTATTTGTCCTTGTGAAGAGTATGGAGGGAAAAGAACACAGTACAGCAGAGTAAAAGACTATAAAGGAAGAAAAAAGTAACAGAGGAGACAAGGACTAACCAGGAGATGAGAAAAGGTTCGTCCAAGCTGTTGTAAACATTGACAATCAAGTTATCGTTGGTCACTGATTCGATCTGGGGACCTGGGAATTGGCCGTTAATCAGTATCCCCTGCCATTTCACACACCCGGGAGTCAACAAACACGATGATGAATAGTGCCAGAGAAAAATATCAAAAGAACCAGAAAAAGGAAGAAAAATTGCACCTGTTGTTTAACTCCAAGAGGATAAATGTCTCCATAAGTGACATTCCAAGAGTAGAACTTGTAAGGGTCATCTCCAATTGCGCAGGTAACCAGCAAAACTAACAGAAAGAGACAAGCCAGTCTCTTAGACCGTCCCATTCTCCTCTTTCCTCTGTTTCTTCTTCCCTTTCTAAGCCAAATGCTACTATGGGGAAATGTTCAGAAAAGAAGCCAAGATCAAATCTTTCTTTTTCTTTTTTTTAATAAACCCTCATGCTTCTTTCCGCAAAGAGGATAAATGGTTCCTCAATTTGCTTCTCCTCTTGTTCGCCTGCTTTTTTAGCCTTGGAGCGTTGTCCACCCCAGACGAGATAATAATGTCGGCGGAGGAGAGAGAAGAAGCAGAGGTTTCTTAAACAGTGTGGTAATGAAGCACCCTGCGTCTTTGTTTCCGAATAGGGATCTCTGAGCTGTACCGCTTCAGGGTCTTGAGAAAAGCGTCGTCACTCGCCACCACTTACTCCTTCAAAGTGTTCAAACCGCGTCCTTTCTGTCACAGCAAAGTTGTATTTATCTTTTGAGAAAAATCTGTAGTGTAATTTAATCTTGTACCCGAAATCTTCGAGCAAGAAAACAGCAAGTAAATGCTGGGTCCTCACTTTGTGTGCAAGGTGGGCGCTGATTCAGAAAAATTAATATAAAATCAGCAAAGCAGTTCATGATTAAGCAGGATCATATTCGTCCTATACTCTAAATCAATTAATCATTGGTAGCTTCTAGTCAAAGTGAAGAACTAACTTTTTTTGTTCAATCCCTCCGTTTTTTAATATCAGGAACAGGCACGTCTTCAATGGATAAAGAGGGCCTGAGTAGAATCCGGCCCTCAATCTATTGAAGGAGATTGGGAGGAAAAAGAAATAAACAAAGAAAATTTAACAACTTGCGTTTGTGCGCGCTCTTCTATAGAGCCTATCCTATGTTTGTGTGTGAGAGAGAGAATGCTTTGTTTTTGTAACGACGAATAATATTGTCATAACATTCATGCCTGCGACTGTGGAGCAATGAACAGAGTACTGAGTGTCTGCTTGGGCAGTTTTGAGAAAAATGGATTTAGATTTTAGTCTCTGAGTTGGTAAATGATTAATGTTTCTCTGTTGTTTTATTTTTCCACTTAAAAACAGGCAGCTCTGTTAAATTAAAACAGAGATAAAATCCCACGGGGTTAGGTCGACTGGCTGGGGTCGTCCTAGTTTAACCACGGATCTCGAGTTCGAGACGTGGGAACGCAGCACTCCAAAAGGTCAGGGGGCGCCGTCCGTATGGATCCTTGCAAGCCCCCGAATCCGGATTAGTCTGGGGACGTTGTCATGGCTGAAAGACGCCTATTTCCCTGGGATACCGGATGGAGTAATCCAAAAAAAAAAGAAAACAGGGATAACCAAAGTCAAAGTCTTGTGGGCATTAATGGCGAGTACCAGAACTCTGAACCTCCTTGACCGAAGCAGATTCCTTTTTTGAAAAAATAATTTATCTCTCTTCGGTGAAGAAGTAATTTAGCAGTCCTCAGTATTTACGACTCTTTTCAATTTGGGTTTTTATAGTTTCAAATACTACCTCCAATCTTATAATAAGGGTTTATTTTATTTTTATTTTGATCCTAATTCTAATTATAAGATTTTAATTTACTTTTTTCTTATATTTATGTATTTTTTAAAATAATTTGTGTAATAATAATAGTTCTAGACAATATACTTTATTAGCAAAAATATTTTAGGAAATATAATACTTATTTGTCAATTCATTTTTTCTTATATTTATGTAATTTTTTAAATAATTTGTGTAATAATAATAGTTCTAACCAATATACTTGAGTAGTAAGAATATTTTAAGAAAGATAATACTCGTTTATTACAAATAACTAACTTAACTAATTTCTTTAATCTACTCAAATTAATCAATTAACTTTATATAAAGAAACGGAGATAATAATATAGGTCAATCCCTATCCTTTTCTCTGTTAGTTTTGTTTGTATTTTTCATCGTCAATGTCTGCAGCTAGATGGATGCCGCTGAGGATAAAAGGCAAGATAATGCAAAATTTCCATAAACTTTATGACATGGAAATTATTTTTTGAACCTTGGAAACTTTATAATAAACCTCTCTGCAGAACATTTATATTTATACAGTACAGATAACTCCGGTGCTGTTAACTTTGTTCATTACTTATTTGTAAATTTCTTGAAGTTTAAGAGCCTTCTCTGCATTAACATACGTCCAAACGGTTTTGAAGCGTTCATATCAAAGCAAGCAATCTGGTAAGCCTCAGTTTGACGTTCGTTCAATGTTTATGGCTTCACATCTGTCAATTTGGATGGCCGAATCGAAACGGAATTGGGTGGATGAGGAAAATTGATTTTAACTTCTTCTCTTGAGGCTCTATTGGTTGTTTTGTCTCGTTTAAATCATTTTTGTGACCTGGCATCAGCTTCCTCGCGTTAGGCTATTAAGATGGAACAGTCTGATTTAGAACCTACCTTTAGTGGATTATAGCAGCGGTGTTCTTATGCTGCACTGGTTTGGTTTCTGTTTAATTGCTAGTGGTGCTCTTGAGACGCATTTTAAAGTTGGGATCATCGTGTGGGTGTGAAATTCCTTGTCTTTCTTATTACTCCCGAAGAAAGAGGGCACTGAGATTTAGGCCGAGATTGCTGCATTCGGGGAAGATACTGAAATATTTTTGGGATCACTTGTTTAGTTTCTGACACTTATAATGATAGTGTCCTGTGGTATTATCTCCCATCTTTAACGTATGGGCTAAGTACTGATTTACAAATATTAATGAAATGAAATTAGATTAGCTGGTTTATATGAAAAAAATGTGTAGATTTTTCTGAAATATTTCCTATAACCATTTGTATTGGAGATTATTCTTATTGACAAAAACTCCATTTACATATAGAAATGCATGATCAATAGGAATCGTTTGAAAAAAAAAAAATTATAAATTTAGAAACAATATATAGAAGTATTAAATTTAGGGTAAAAGAAAGCCCTTTAAATAATTTTTTTATTTAGGAGTGGACAAAAAATATTATGAATCGAGAGTATAATTATCACCGAGGCACCATAATTCTATGGTGCCTTCTATGCCCTCGTGTCTCTTAAATTGTAACTCGACCTACTGGCAGCTGACCATTGTCCTCCATCCATCCTGCGAAATTCCAACTCACGAGTGTTGTCATAAGGAACTCCAATGATCCCAAAAACAAAAAACAAAAAAATCCATTAACAGGTTTAAGGGAAGGTGAACTCACCCTACGATGAAGAAGTTGTGGCCATCAATGTGCCAAGATTGCAGGGTGTCTTCAGGATTCTCAAAGACAATCTCAGCAAAGCCACGGAAGTCGGCAGCCATAACAGAAGTTTGAAGGTAACCACCGGAGCCAGTGGGGTTGTCTGGGATGCTTCCAAGGGAGAAAACTCCTGAGATCTTGAAGTAATCAGCAAGCTTGAGAGGTGTATCAGCAGGAATAAAGGACACACTATTCACGGCATATCTCTGCTTCCCGTTGATGATTGGCGCGGAATTTTGAAGCCTAATTGTACGTGTTGTATTGATCATACCATAATGGTACGATCCTTGAGGATTAGGCCTTGGTCCACTTGCTGTCAGATTACGCCTGGTTTCATATATGGCATGCATGAAGTTTCTAAAAAGGATTGATCAAGAAATTTAGTTTTTACTGCTGAGTCAAGAAAGAAATACGGTAATTTACCTGAGAGATCGAGCTTGTTCTAAAGACCAATCAATCTGGGTGGTTGGGCCGCCAGGGGGAGGGCCAGAAACAGAGGAAGATGAGTTGCTGTAATGGAGAATGGAGGTCGTAGAAAGCACCTGGGAGGTGAATCTTGTGGAGACGACAATGTAGTAGTCTTGTGGCGGTTGATCAGCAGTGACCAATACGGAGTAAGTCTGGCCAAGATGAATGTCAAGAGAACTATAAGTGTTTTGGAGAGTGTGGGTTCCTTCCACCTCAACCAGTAGCATTTTATGCCCTTGGATTCTGAAGTTAATGGATGCTGTCAGCCCCACATTGGATATCCTGAATCTGTAAGTCTTACCTGACAAACCACCAGACACATAACAATCGATGTCTAAGTAATTATAGCTTCATTGGCATATGAACACAGGCAGGCAAAAAAAATTAAAAGAATAGAGAAGAAGTTCTTTTTCCGTACCTTGATCAACTGTGAATGTGTAACCATTAGAACCGCGGCCATTAATGACGAGCCCGTCAGGGAATGGAAGATCACTTCCACCGTCTAATATGGCCTTCAAATCCTACAAAAATAAACATCAAATTATCAATTTTAAGATTGGATTCCTTCAACAATAAAGACTATTCTACAGTTACAATCTAAAAGATAAAAACAGTGACACGGCCACGCGAAAGCTTTCAAATGTTCACAATTCATATGATTTTTTGAAGCGCCGGGTCTTAGAGTTGGTGTCAGCGATGAAAAAGCGAGCTACTTACAGTGTGATTTCTCTTGTACCAGTCTCCTGCCAAGATGGTGAAATCCCCCGCTGGAGGAGGGAAAGGTACAGGAATGACAGAGCGGCTAGCAATTTTGAAGCCACCATAGCCTCCTGCAGCCTTGTGGAATGCAAGAGAAGGGAAGTAGAAATAGCTACCAATCTGATCTTTCACTTGAAGGACGAAAGTGAAGTTCTTCCCTGGCGGGATTGGACAGTTGGTCCCATAAACTCCATCCTGCCATGAGTTCCTCCTCTGCTGCACTCCATTCCTACGAACAATGGCAACATCTTCATATCAGACTTACACTAACTATGCTTTGGCTGTTCGAGCAATAATGGCGGCCAGATCTACAGAAATAACTAAACTAACACGTGTTTTTCCCATGAAAGGGACATCATTTGCCATTGAACTTTGGAAAATTCCATCATCTATTTGTCCTTGTGAAGAGTATGGAGGGAAAAGAACACAGTACAGCAGAGTAAAAGACTATAAAGGAAGAAAAAAGTAACAGAGGAGACAAGGACTAACCAGGAGATGAGAAAAGGTTCGTCCAAGCTGTTGTAAACATTGACAATCAAGTTATCGTTGGTCACTGATTCGATCTGGGGACCTGGAAATTGGCCGTTAATCAGTATCCCCTGCCATTTCACACACCCGGGAGTCAACAAACACGATGATGAATAGTGCCAGAGAAAAATATCAAAAGAACCAGAAAAAGGAAGAAAAATTGCACCTGTTGTTTAACTCCAAGAGGATAAATGTCTCCATAAGTGACATTCCAAGAGTAGAACTTGTAAGGGTCATCTCCAATTGCGCAGGTAACCAGCAAAACTAACAGAAAGAGACAAGCCAGTCTCTTAGACCGTCCCATTCTCCTCTTTCCTCTGTTTCTTCTTCCCTTTCTAAGCCAAATGCTACTATGGGGAAATGTTCAGAAAAGAAGCCAAGATCAAATCTTTCTTTTTCTTTTTCTTTTTTTTAATAAACCCTCATGCTTCTTTCCGCAAAGAGGATAAATGGTTCCTCAACTTTGCTTCTCCTCTTGTTCGCCTGCTTTTTTAGCCTTGGAGCGTTGTCCACCCCAGACGAGATAATAATGTCGGCGGAGGAGAGAGAAGAAGCAGAGGTTTCTTAAACAGTGTGGTAATGAAGCACCCTGCGTCTTTGTTTCCGAATAGGGATCTCTGAGCTGTACCGCTTCAGGGTCTTGAGAAAAGCGTCGTCACTCGCCACCACTTACTCCTTCAAAGTGTTCAAACCGCGTCCTTTCTGTCACAGCAAAGTTGTATTTATCTTTTGAGAAAAATCTGTAGTGTAATTTAATCTTGTACCCGAAATCTTCGAGCAAGAAAACAGCAAGTAAATGCTGGGTCCTCACTTTGTGTGCAAGGTGGGCGCTGATTCAGAAAAATTAATATAAAATTAGCAAAGCAGTTCATTAAGCAGGATCATATTCGTCCTATACTCTAAATCAATTAATCATTGGTAGCTTCTAGTCAAAGTGAAGAACTAACTTTTTTTGTTCAATCCCTCCGTTTTTTAATATCAGGAACAGGCACGTCTTCAATGGATAAAGAGGGCCTGAGTCGAATCCGGCCCTCAATCTATTGAAGGAGATTGGGAGGAAAAAGAAATAAACAAAGAAAATTTAACAACTTGCGTTTGTGCGCGCTCTTCTATAGAGCCTATCCTATGTTTGTGTGTGAGAGAGAGAGTGCTTTGTTTTTGAAACAACGAATAATATTGTCATAACATTCATGCCTGCGACTGTGGAGCAATGAACACAGTACTGAGTGTCTGCTTGGGCAGTTTTGAGAAAAATGGATTTAGATTGGGAAAATGACAGATAAAGAAGGCTGAAATAATAAAATGCCAGAATGGGAAGCTAAGCAAATGTATTACCAGATAGGGAAGTGTTGCCTGATTTGGGATTATGCAAATGTTGCACAATTACAAAACAGCCCCTGTCAGTCAGCGTTTGAAAGCGGAGAGAGAGAAGGCGCGCGCGAACACTCCTGCACTGACCGTCGTGCTTCCCGGTTTCTCGCTTCCACCATCCCCATTGTTGCCCTAAAAACGCCGGCAAGCTGGACAGTTGAGGACCCCGAAATAGTGTGTGCGTAAGAGAGCAGAGGAGTTGGAAGTGGAAGGGCGTGCTGTTCGAAGGGCGAACGTGGTCGCGTCTGACTGATTGTGTGGAAAGACGAAGGTTGGCGCACGGTGATTCACCATTGCAGTTAACAAGCATCAACAGCATTTCAGTGAGGTAAGTTCAGGCATTTAAGTTTCGTGCTGTGGTCGACGTTTCTGGGTGAGTCTGGGAATCAATGATAGGGCAATATTTAGATATGACGCGATGAAGTTTGTGAATGACAGGAATGGCGATTAAGGGTTTATGCTGAGTCGCTATGGCAAGCTATTCTGTTTTTAATAACGTAGTTGAGAACTGGAAAAATGGGTTTTGAAATCAGTAGGAAAATTGTCTGATTGACTGGAAAAATTATATGAACAACTGGAAATGACAATAACATACTGGTAAATGACTATGATCGAACCTAAAATGACCATATTCATAGTAATGACCTTACTGTCTGAATGAGTGGAAAGATTATATGAATAAACTGGAAATGACAATACCAAACTGGTAAATGACTATGAAGGAACTTGAAATGACCATATTCATAGTAATGACCTTACTGTCAGACTGTAATGGCCATGTTGGTAATGACAATGAATTAAGTGGGAATGACCATATTCATATTAATGACCTAACTGTTAGTCTGTAATGGGCATATTGGTAATGACAATAAGTTAACTGGAAACGACCATATTCATACCGGCATCCTTACTGTCACTCTGTAATGGCCATATTGTAAATGACAATGAATTAATTGGAAATGACCATATTCATAGTACTGACCTAACTGTTAGTCTATAATGGGCATATTGGTAATGACAATAAATTAACTGGAAACGACCATATTCATACCAGCATCCTTACTGTCACTCTGTAATGGCCATATTGTAAATGACAATGAATTAATTGGAAATGACCATAACGAATCTGGAAAGAACTAGATGTGTAGTAAATGTATTAAAATTATGATTTAATGATGGTACCTTGATGACTTTGCAGAACTATACGAGATGGTGTTGGAAGAAGGGGAAGGGTCCACAAGCAAAGGAGTCCACAGTGGGCTTGTGTTGTTCAGAAGGGAGTATATGGCTAAACGAGGTGAGAAGTGTAAAAACGCAAGAGAAGAAAAAATTGAAGTGGGGAAGGCATGGAGGGCCCTGAGTGAAGAAGAGAAAGATAGGTATAATGAGAGGGCAAGGAAAACGAAGCCACAGAAAGGTGAGAAGAAGAAGTATGATGTTCCCTTGTACACCCGGTGCTCATTGCCCGGATTTCTATCATTGGCTGAATATGTGAAGAAGAACAGGCGGTTGAGGCAGAAAGTTCAGAGGATGGGATTTGGGAACTTGCTTAATGTGAATGTGAAGCAACTTCCACGTGATCTACTTGTGTCATTGTTGAGATGCTATGACCCACCAACGCATTTTTTGACCATTAGAGGGCAAGGGCAGGCAATTGAGGCAAAAGATGCGCATGAGTTTCTAGGTGTACCTGACAGTGGGGAGGAAGTGAAATCTGATGTTAGTGAGGATGACCCGGAATACAAGAGGTTGAAGGACACTTATTGGAAGGTTCCATTTACCCAGATACTGAAGAGGATATTATCTGGGGAAGAAAGCGACAATTTTGAGTTCCTATTTATGCTTTATACAGTTGGAGCTTTTCTATGTCCTGGGTCAAGCACAACTGTACATATACGTTTGTTGAAAGTGATGCGTCACACGATGAATGGGTTTTGGAAATATGATTGGTCAACGTACATAATCAAGAACCTGTGGAAGGAAATGGGAGACTTTGTGAAGATGACAAAGAAGAAGAAGAAAGGAACCTGCAATGTTGGAGGGTGTCTTTATTTGCTGCTGGTAAGTCAATATTTTTCTTATGGTTCACTATATTTTTGTCTTTTGTTATTGTTGCAGAAGTGTGACCTATCTTTATTTGGTTTTGCAGCTGTATTTTGTTGAGCGTTTCCCGCTGGGATTGTCTGTTGACCGGGGTTCAACAAGCGCCATTGAATATTGGACCGAGGAGAAGATAAAGGAGAGGGTGGAGAAAGAGAGAGGCAGCAGCATGGGAATATTGCATGGAAGCAGTGGCAGCGAGGTATACTCAGCAGGACATGAGGACAGTTCAATTTTGCAGTCTTTAGATCCGGTATGTGGGAACTTAGAAAATATACGTGACCTGAGTTTAAGTCAGTCTATTAGCAAGGTTGATACTTGAGATGACAAGACTTTATTTAGAAATGACCAGTGAGATACTGGCATTTGATAACAGTGAACAATTTTTTTGATATCTTCATTTACTGTGTATGCAGGCATTGAAGGAGTTGAGGGCTCGTTTTGTGAAGAAGCTTGAAGAAAGCCAGAGGACGTTAATGAAGGCTCTTGATGATGAGCTACTCAAATTGCAGATTGGATTGAACGCCAAAGTTAAGGGGATGGGGAATGAGAATGCCACTGCTAAAGAAGGGGTTGAAACAGTTGGTGATGCAGCTGGTAACGATGCTGAAGAAGCTGATGATGTTGACCGAGTGGTGGAGGAGATTGCAAGAGAGGTTGCAGCGGGAAGTGCAGATGAGGAACTTGATGAGGATGAAACCAGCAAAGGAGATGATGAGAAGGATGAGGATGAGGAACAACATGACCTTCATGACAGGGAAGTCAGTGATGATTACATGGTTGAGGAGGTGGAAGAAGAGGGTGACCGTGATGGTCATGGAGGTGATGACGACGACGACGAGGATGAGGAGGAAGATGACCATGATGACAGGGAAGGAGGTCATGTGGTTGATGAGGAGGAAGATGACCATGATGACATGGAAGTCAGTCATGATTATGTGGTTGAGGAGGCCGAAGATGATGATAAGGAGGTTCGGGATTCAGATGATGAGGGGAGGAAGCTACACATGTACTGACAATGACCCCTACCAATGTTCCTTTGCTGTTGGATCGAGAATGGGTGAGCAGTGACAGTGGGGAGGAAGGAGGGCCTGAAAAATCGATTGACCTTCGGAGGTCAACAAGGGCAAAGAGTTCCACAATTAAATCTCCGTGGATAGAATTCAAGGCAGCTCCGAGGACGAAGAGGCCAAAGGAGGAAAGTGACATCTTTTTCACTTTAATATCCCGTAGACCCAAGGGAGAGGAAGAGGGGAATATGTAAGTATATCCGTAGCTAGTGTTTTGTTTTTAAATGACACAGTGTGCCCTGAAAATGACAGCAATAGGATTGAAAATGACAATAACATACATGGGAATGACAAGTATTGATGTCCCCAACACCATACTTTCTGTCACTGACATCTGACAATGTTTGCAGGACTGTCATCAAAATGTTTGATGAAGATATAGACCGACAACAGCTGTTTTCCCTGGGTGGAGTGAACAGAGTAAATAACAGGGTATTTAAGAATGCTCTGTCCCTGCACCCACGATTATGTTTGATAATGTTTGGTGAGATTATTGTACCAGAATGACGTTTTCACTTGTGTTCTGTAGGTGCTTAATTTGGTGTGCAAGGCAGTGATGGAGGACATGAAGGCAGAGTTGGGGCCAGGGAAGAGGCACATTTTCGATGTTGATTTCATGGTGAGGTTGCATAATTCCAAATGCAAATACCAATGACAGCAATTGAATTGGAAATGACTTGTTCTCTGTTAATGGATTAACAATTTCATGTCATGCAGAACATGATGGCACATGATCCAACCTGGAAAGCCCAAAAATATAAGAAGCTCTTTCTTCCTGAGTTCGTTGGCTACAACTTAGCTGAATGTGATTTCATAATTGGTCCTGCTCTTGTTGGCCAACACTGGTTTTGCGTTGCCATTCAGCCTAGCACATTGGATTTCCACGTAATAGACTCCATGAGGAACCATTTCGGAACCAAGGACAGAAAGCAGAAGAAGAAGGTTGTCATCAAAGACCCAGTGGAAATGGCTGTGGATGATTGTGTAAGAAAAAACTCATTATCTTTACCCTAGTTTTTGAACTTGGAAAATCATTAAACTTTCTATGTTGGTCCTGAATGTTGTTGCAGAGGAAGAGGCTCAATATTATACTGGACTTGGTCAAGCCAGGATTGGTTGGGAAAAAGCCAATGTCTCCCATGATATTTGCAGCAGTTCCCCAGCAGAATAACCTGTCAGTTTTGTCAAATTCGATTTCTGTGGGGTAAATGCACATGTCAGATGTGTTAACTAACTGTGCTGATATTGTTGCGTCCACAGGAGGGATTGTGGGGTGCACTGCATGATGTGGCTGAGAAGATGGGAACCTGGTGTGACCCTTACCTACACAGAGGAAGAAGTTGCTGGCTTTCGTCGTGACCTGACATGGTGGTTGGTCAATCATGAACAGAATGAAAAACGTGACGAGGCATTGGCCCTTATTCGACGACCACAACCAACCAAGAGCACAAAGTCCAAGAAAAGGCGTCGGTCTTAGGTGTCTCGATGTTAGGGTCATAATTCACTTGTCCTCTGTTAGATTGCTGTATGTAATGTGCATTGTAGGCTGACCAAAAATTTACTGTGTATTGTTATGGTTAACAAAGATTGGTGTCCATAAATGTATGATAGTTGAGAACCATGATGCCAATTTATTCCCCAGTGACATGAATGAATCTGGTTTTAACCACACAAAAACAGATGCTGACAACAACCCCATTGGACATGTGCTATTGGTTTTCATTTTTTGTTCAGGTCACTAAATTTTACTTCAATATATCCTGTTGGTATCCAACAGAAAATGACCAGAACAAATTTAAAATGATACGAAGTGAAGCGAATATGACAGCGATAATGACAAGGATCACCTGGTCTGATTTTACAACATCAGTTCAGCACGGCTGTCAGCTTATGCTGATAGCATCACTGCCAATGACCAGAACAAATTTAAAAATGACACGAAGTGAAGCGAATATGACAGCGATAATGACAAGGATCACCTGGTCTGATTTTACAACATCAGTTCAGCACGGCTGTCAGCTTATGCTGATAGCATCACTGCCAATGACCAGAACAAATTTAAAAATGACACGAAGTGAAGCGAATATGACAGCGATAATGACAAGGATCACCTGGTCTGATTTTACAACATCAGTTCAGCACGGCTGTCAGCTTATGCTGATAGCATCACTGCCAATGACCAGAACAAATTTAAAAATGACACAAGTGAAGCGAATATGACAGCGATAATGACAAGGATCACCTGGTCTGATTTTACAACATCAGTTCAGCACGGCTGTCAGCTTATGCTGATAGCATCACTGCCAATGACCAGAACAAATTTAAAAATGACACGAAGTGAAGCGAATATGACAGCGATAATGACAAGGATCACCTGGTCTGATTTTACAACATCAGTTCAGCACGGCTGTCAGCTTATGCTGATAGCATCACTGCCAATGACCAGAACAAATTTAAAAATGACACGAAGTGAAGCGAATATGACAGCGATAATGACAAGGATCACCTGGTCTGATTTTACAACATCAGTTCAGCACGGCTGTCAGCTTATGCTGATAGCATCACTGCCAATGACCAGAACAATTTAAAAATGACAACAAGTAATGCGCCATTAACAAAAGCTAACATCCCCATAACAGTAACTTCCTTTCATGTATTCAACAAGTGGACATTAAGATACTAGCCACACTTAATGCTCCGTTATCACTGAAATAACTATCAGCTTACTTACAAAAAAATGTCTCCACCTAGCTCCTAACTACAACCCCAGTCCCAAAAAAGTTGACAAGGGCGGAGCATACAACTATGTACACCAAAAAATGACCCATCCCCACTGTACTCGAAACTTCATGATGGGTTAGGATTTCTGCAATTCCTCCTTGTGTGTCCAGGCTGGTGGCATCTTCCACAGTGGTATATCCGTTTGTTCTGGAACTGTGATTCATCCCTGTTTACTTTTGGCCTTCCTGGTGGTCGGGATGTCATGGGAGGTAGCAAGAAAACTTGCTCACTGACATTTTCTATTCTATAGTAGTCATTTGGGTGAGGCATGTCTGTTGTTACCACAGGAATCATACTGCGAGCATAGATCTTTTCTTGTGATGACTTTTTATAGCAATTATCAATATAATCATAAACATTGCCGTGCACAATCTTGATGGCAGCACAAGCATGGGAACAAGGGATCCCCGTCATTTGCCAAGATCTGCAACTGCATTGGTGTAGTCCAAGATCAACCCGATGGTCTCCACGTGATGTTGTCACCTTCACTCTTCCCCCACCATAATTTTCAGCATACATATGGTCAGACCCAGCCACCATATCCAGCACCTTACTCTCTATATTTGGACCAACGCAATTCTTCCATTTGGTCATACCCACATAGGAGGCATGCAGCTTTCTTGCAACTTTATCTCGGTGCTCATAGATCAATTGGGGTACAGTATGCTTTCTCTCATTCACCATCCATGCATTGAATGATTCTGCTATATTGGTTGTAATATTGTCCCATCTTTTATATGGGAACCTACTTTTAGCCCACCTATCTACATCCCCATGATGAATAAGCCAATCAAATAGCCTTGGAGAAAAGGATCTCATGTCATCCATTGCTGCCTCAAATTTCTCATCCGTCCTTGCGTATGCAATTTTATCCAATAAATATAGTGCATCCTCCTTTGATCGGCCATTTGTCCTTGTTTGCCCCTTATTCATTTTCATAACTTCTGAACTAAAATTCTCCTTGATGTGTCTATAACAAAAGGCATGCCTTTGACCCCCAAAGATTGATGCCACTCCTCCGATGATAGCATTGTGTCGATCTGATACAATCGTTACTTCCACAGAACCCAGGATTTTTTTTATCATATAGAAAAACCACGTCCAGTCATCTAGTGTTTCTCCCTTCACAATTGCAATTGCAAATGGCAGCAGCTCGTTATCTGCATCATAAGCTGAAGCTGACAACATTGTCCCCTTGTATGGTCCGCTTAAGTGAGTTCCATCAACATACATAATATGCCTCGCGCCACCCAGGAAACCCTCAATGCATGCCCCGTAAGCAATGAAAACACGCTCAAACCGGTTCCCAATAGCAGTCCATTCAGCCACTGATTTTTCATCTGTTTCCTTTATCCTTTCGCATAGCCATGGTATGAGCATGTATGATTGTTCGGGCCTGCCATATATGTCTTCCAGTGACTTCTCTCTTGCTCTATAAGCCTGTTTATATGTTAGATCAATCCCATACTCTCGTTTCAACCTCTTCCTTATCTCAGAAGTGCGCTTGTCTGCATGATCCCTCATCTCATCAATTATTATTGATGAGTTCAAACTAGCTCTTCCACTATGCATCACGTCCAAGCTATCTTGGGCAGAATGAACATGCCGGTTTATAAATGTCGTCACTCGTAGCACATCACAACTCTTCCCCACATGATTTGCACATAGCTTCCATGGACAACCCTCAACTTTACACCTTATCGACATGAATTCCTTGCTATTCCTCATATACTTGGCCACAAACTTGTTTGCAAGTGCAAACTTGTATACAGACACCCGAAATACATCTGCACTAGGAAAACGTTGGCCCACTCCTGTTAAAAGTCCCCTCCATTCCGCATGAACCATCTCACTACCATCCGTATCTTCAGCTCCGATAGATTTATCCACATTAGGGGGCCCACTTATTTCATCATTGTCACATTCACGAGCATTTTCTTCACTGAGCCAGCCATAATCACAACACAAACTAATGGGAGACGCATCCAGTTCAGTTTGCTGTGACATGCCCATGAATCTCTCTGTTCTGCATTCATAATGACAAGACTCGTTAACACAAATGACAAGAAGAAATTCATAAATGACAACAAATAGTTAGGACAAACTCCACTTACATTTCTACATTGTCCCTTGGTTGGGGACCCACTTGTCTTTTTTCGGCGACATACACATGACCGCTGTTCCCATTGTATTGAAAGAGGTTATACATTTCAGCATTGTCATGAAGGTCAATCAATGTCTTCTCATCAAAGGCCACTGTGTACTTAATGTCATAATTTCTTCCATCGCCACCAATCCACTCAGATATCATTAGCCTCAATTCATCAAGTGTCAGCCCATCCTTAATGCTTCTTAACCTCACGCCACCTCCATTATATCTCACTTCACCTTCACCATTTGTCACAAATTTCCCCCCCACATGAAAATAACAGAACAGCTCCTTCCCACAAGATGACCCAGCTGCAAAATTCATTTATCTTCATTACCTGCACTGATAACATAACAGAAGTCGAATGATTA